GCACGTCAAGATAGCTGTTGTCCTTTTCAGCCATAATAAGGAGTTGATATAGAAACCAGTTCGATGTTTGCGAGACCGTAGAGCAATGATTACATTGATATTCACGTCGGGATGATTTGGGGAAAACAAAAATAATAATGATAATAATAATAATAATTTTTTTTAAATATATAAATAATATTTGAGCCTTCCAAATATTATAATTCTCTTAAAATCTCAATAATTTTTTTATCATTAAAAAATTAATATAAATAATTAAATTATACTTAATTCAAACTTGTGAATTAGTATTGAATTACTATGATTTAAAAAAATTATAAATCTTAAAATAAACTTGTGAATGATAATTGATATTACAACACATGAGAAATATTAAAATTTAAATATAAATTTAAAATTTTTTATTAAATCTTATAATTTTTTAAAAAATTGTGAATCTTAAAATAAAAATTATAAATTATAATTGATATTTGAATTAAGGATAATTTAATTATTTATATTAATTTTTTAATAAAAATTTTAAAGAATTATAACATTTTAAGAGATTAAAATATTATTTGCATAGTTTAAAAGAATTTTATTATTATTTTTGTAAAATAAAATTTCACATTTTACAGGTGGCGGAAGCTGACTGCCGCAATCACCACCAAGCTCTTATCAACAAATTAAATTAAACATTTCCTCAACTAACAAAACTATCATTATTTAAATTAAGTTATAATTAACACAATACTTAACAAAAATGATAATTAAGTTAAGAATTATTTATATTTTATAATTATACTTTTTGATTAATGAATTTGAGTTAAAAAATCGCATTAAAATCAGATCAATAGATTATGAAAACCAAAAGTATAATTTCCTGCCATTTTAAACTAAAATTTCGTCAAATCAATTCAGCTGAAAATATAATTATAAAGGTGCAAAAATTTTTAATTTTAATTTTATTAATTAAAAATTTATAAATTATTTTGATAAATATGTTCATCATCAATTTTATAATATTGGTCTAATTTAATATTATAATATTATAAATTGACTATTTATATATATTCTGGATATATAGTTCATATTCAACATTAAATTTTTATCTACAAGTTCTAAATTTAAAATTTTTTATTTAGTTTAATTTTATATTTAAAAATGAAAAATTTATTAAAAAATTAATATTGAATCTATATTATCCAGAGTACATCTAAATAATTAATTTATAAAAATTATAATATTAAATTTGACCACTTAAATTAAATTAGTACTGTCCAAATGATGAACATATTTGTCAAAAAAATTTATAATTTTTTATTTTAATAAAATTAAAAAAAATCTGAGCCATCCACGATAAATCTGCTGGATGGCCCGGATTTTTTGTGTGGGGTGGTGAGCATCTCTTGCTCAGTGCCGAATATGGATCCATCCCTCATCATGTTTTGACATCTTCGTCATTGCCCCAACGATACTAACAATTAGACCCTAAAAAACAGTGACAAGATCATCATACAACAGTACAAGTAATATATACGAACCATTAACTTTGGAAAATGACTGCATTTATCTGAAGATCACGCCGATCTGGATGGCAGGTACCCACTTCACAGGTCGGGGAAAATGGGAGACAATATTTGGATGGGATGCCTAGCGGTTCATGTTTCTCCATTCTGCTCTTTATGCCACCGATCCATTAATTCATGACTTGAGTCCTACTGATCATGTTGAGATTCAATATAATGGACAAGTAGTTACAAATGCTATTTTGGTATTTCTCAAAAATAATACTATTCGAAATACAACTGAGTATTAATATAAATGGTAGGAGTTTATTGGTGCTCAAATTATATTGTATTTCAATTTCAATTATCCTAATTATTTAAAAATGTTTTCTACATTTACGCGCATATTCGAATTTAAAAAAACCACGGTCCCTTCAATTTTTTCTATGACCTTGTTGGTTGGTTGAACATATACTTCGGGAGGCATTGTACAAATTTTAAAATTACATATTTGCAGCTGATCAATCAGCTTGTTCGTGCATGCATGTTACATATTCATAATACAACAGAATGATTACTTGGGTGTGTAGTGGATTTAGATTGGTGGTATGCTTTAATTAGTCACCCGGACACGTGTGATGGGCGTGGAAGCAGCTGCCATTGCCGCGACAAAGATGGCGAGAAAACTCGTTGGTTCTCATTAACGTGGGAAAGCAACTTCCATGTGTTCCGTGAATTGCAAACGTGTATATACAATTATAACTATTTTCTCCAATCTATTTTATAAATTACTTTTAAAATGTTTAATCAAAATTTTAAAAAACTTAAAACTCATTAAATACTTATCTAAAAATTTAATAAATTTTTAAATTTAACCTTCAACATATATATAGTTTAACAACCTATTTTTTTCATTAATAATATTTAATGAAAGATTAAAGGAAATCTTTGTTATGAAAATTTAAGGACAAAAAGAAATCCTTTTTTCACTACCTTAGAAATATAACTGAAGGGAGTATTGCATATGTGGATCAATTAGACGTATTTGATCGTCAAGAATTGAAAGACTCCATTGGCGGCAATTTGTATGTATATAGAGATGATGTATACCAAAGCTGTGTATTGATGGCAATGATACGTGTGTGTGTGTGTGAGGGAAACTAGCAGTGGCGGGTTGATTGAGCTTCCGATTCAGTCGCAGTGGAGAAGGGGCGAGCAGTGAGCAGAATGGTTTGCGATAAGGACCAAGGCAACGAACGAGATGGGTTTTAATTATGGACGAATCAGAAAGCTTTGGATCCAAGACTGATAGCCAGGTGGAACAACGAGATTCTTCCCTTAACATAGGACGATATTAAATTTTTGATAATTTGTTATTTTATATTATCATAACTAAGGTAGTTATAATTATTTTATTTTTTATTGATCTTTATTTTATTCTCAAACATTTTGATAAATCTTTTTTCTTTATAAAAATATATCTCATATTTAAATTAATAAGATAAGTTACTATTTTTATAATTTGTATTACCTTTTTCTATTTCTAATCCTCATTGACCTCAACATGCATAGGTTGATATTAAACTTCCTCAGGTATATCACCCACCACCTTAACTTGCTAAGAGGGTGTATGATGAATGATTTTGGCTCTCTTGTAGTTTGTTTTTTTTTTCTTTTTTACCAAACTCTTGTAGTTTGTTGTTAGTTTCTTGTTTCCTCATATTGTAAATGATATTTAGTTTTACTCAAGGAAAAAAAAAATTTCCTCAAATGTCAAAACTCTAATACAGATTTTAGTTCAAGATGCTAACAACTAAACATTGGAGTCCTGAGGTTAATCTATGTGCAGTATGTTACGTTGTGAATTTATATTTGACGAGTTGAATTTATGCATTTAGAAATATGTAATTTCTTATTTAAAAAAAATAAAAATAAGAGGTAGTTTTAGGATGGGTCTTCCCTGGCTCGAAAACAAATGGAACGAGTTTTGTTGGGACAGAACAGAATTTAGAATCACTCTTGAGATGTACCGCCTCATCCTGGATATAATATGCACATGTTTTTTTTTTTTTTTCATTTTTGATTTTAACCTAACCATCCCAAGCTCACAAGTCACACTTACAAACTCAAATCAAATTCAGGCATTCCATTATCTTCCTTCCTTATCCCTTTGTTCCGTCATGGAGGGATGGGATGGGAGGAGTATTGTTGCCATTTTTCATCATATATTAATGGGAATGAGGCCTGTGGCATTGTTTTGGAATTCGAGGGGATAAGAGGAAGAAGGAAGTGAAATTAGCCCTTATAGATCTCGAAATGATTCACTGATAAAAGATCGTTGCAGCGTGAAGTTGTGAGGAAAAATAGTCTATTTCTGGGCATGCCCACATGATTTTCTGTCTAAATATTTGTTACATCTATGACATAGATAATGAATTTTGAATTTATCTTCAACTTGATCTTTTTAGATGTTTAAATTTATAATTTAATCCAAGTTTACAAGGACATTCCAATTCTATCATAATTTCAAGTAAGATAAAATGGGATTAGATACTGAACTAAAATTCAATCTCATTCATTTCTCAAGATAAATATTGAGATAATACTGTCCTGATCCAGTCTCTTTTAATAAACACTCCTAACCAACAGCATGCTTTTATACATGAAACTGGTTTGCTTGAGGTTTTAAATGCGTTATGTCCTTCCAACTAACGCCATCGTCTAATCAATTGCTTGCGTGCCCTGACTTTGTTCAACA